TACCAGAAATGTCAGTATTTTCAGATATGTGTCAATATTTCATTGAACCAATTGTATCAGAAATGTCAGCATTTTCAGAATGTGTCAATTTCATTGAACCAATTGTATCAGAAATGTCAGCATTTTCAGAGATGTGTCAATATTTCATTGAACCAATTGTATCAGGAATGTCAGCATTTTCAGAGATGTGTCAATATTTCATTGAACCAATTGTATCAGAAATGTCAGCATTTTCAGAGATGTGTCAATATTTCATTGAACGAATTATATCAGGAAGGTCAGCATTTTCAGAGATGTGTCAATATTTCATTGAACCAATTGTATCAGAAATGTCAGCATTTTCAGAGATGTGTCAATATTTCACTAAGACTTGCTGTATATGAAATATGTCAACATTTTATTGAGGCAAGAAACAATGAGATGAGCAAAATCTTTTGGAATGTTAACACTCAACAATGGCAATATACATTGACAACAAAACTTACTCTTTTAATACCACCTTGTAAGTCTCCCAACTTAACATTCTGTACAAGGTCACGATTTTGTTCATCTAGATATTGTTCAAGTTTCATTTGTTTGGCATTTAACTGATCCAATAATCTCTTTGCATGGTTTGTCATGATGATATGGTCCTCAGTTTGATAAAGTTCAGTGCCTTGAGTGAATCCAGATTCTTCATCTAATTGAAGTTGTTGTAATAGTTTTTGTCCTGAAATGAAAAGTTAAGAATTACAATGACTCAGTTCTACTTTATGTTCTATTGTCTTGGAATAGTTCTACTGGATTCTTGCATAGTAAGTTTCCCCTAAGACTTTTTTTCATGAAATTTGCCAATCTCAGAAAAATTTCATTACATACATTTAGTAATCCAATATTGTATTGGCTCTATTAGAAGTACGGTTCCAACAGTAGAACACAAAAACCAAAAATTGCATTTAATGTATTTGGATCAGTGAATTTAATACAGTAAATATGGTGAATCTGATTAAAACGAAATCACAAAAATTTGCTTAGAGGAACAAGCTAATTTTATCTTACTGATGATTGGTTAGTTGGGATGTTCAAATGTATAGGTCAGAATTCTAATTTTTCACAACTGCATATGGGCAATGCATTATGGGAAAGAAATCATCCTGGAATGTCAATATTTTGAAAGATTTCAACAATTCATATTAATAATAATTTATGAATTTATAGCCCAAAACACAGATATTAATTTAATTAGATTGCACTAGAATGACTAGATAAAACACAAAGCCCAAGAAAAGGTTGTTTGAATAAACTGATAAAATACAAAGTGCAGTTAGTTTTGAGTTAAGAATCTTTGAAGACAAAATGAACATAGAACATGCCTGATATGATCAAAGAGTTGGGTTGTGTCACAATTTTGTCTTTCAGTCTTTGGTGTTGCCATAGCAACTCTTCTGGTTTGATTGGTTCCTGATCTTGTAGTTGGTTGACAATATCCATTTCAGCTTGGTCCAGTCTTGACAACATTGAGATTGTATCTTTGACAAACTTCTCATAGTCCTGATAAAGACATATGTTATGAATTCTTTCAATGCTAAAGTCAACTATTTTCATTTTTGAAAAATCTGTGGTCAGTGCGTGTGTGTCAGTCATTTTTTTTTTTATTTATTTGAAACTAAAGAAAAGAGGGTATGCTTGTCATTGATGGCGCAATATCTTGTTCACACATACTAGTATGCAGATAGAATGATGTTTCATAAAAAAATGAAATACAAAAACATATTATTACATCATTTTTTTTAAGAGAGCTTTTGGCCTAAAATGGCTAACCATAGCTATTCTACAAAAACAGCCATTTAATTTTCTCATAATTATGATTTATGATAACTGATAGTTATTATTAAATGAACAGAATGCGTAAGAAGACATGGACTTACCAGTCTATTCTGAATCCATTCTGCATGGTTGTAACGCAATGTTCCACCAAAAAGTGGAGTTAGCTGATCAGCAGAACAGTATTTATGAAGTTTAGCAACGGACGAGAACATCAATACCTAAAGAGGAAAAATATTTTTTCAGAGATATGATGACAACCACATTAAAAGAAAGCACACCTGACAATCTATCAAAGTTACAGAGATAATTGCAATGTTTATAACCTTGTGATCTATGATAAAGATCTCACTGGAATCATAGCAATGCAAACTTGTGTACTTCGCTATGGTAAAGCCAGTGCAATGTGACAACATTTGTTGGCATTTGTGCAAACCAGCACTGTATAACTGACAAACGGCATGCACTTGCTAGCCTTCTAATATGGCAACATTGTCAACAAATTGTACATTTGATTAACTAAAATATGTACTGGTAAATGTAATACATGTATTGTTTATGACAAAACAAAAACATGTGCATCCCGAATCAGTTGATTTTTTCTCACTTTAATCTTACCTCAAAGTCCAGTTGTGATTTTTCTTTTTTCAGACTCTGGCCCGCTCTCTGTTTTTCCCAGAATGCTTCAGGCTTGACAATACAAGCCAAAAAGATCTTTTCTGGGAGTACTTGCTGAAAATACAAACACAAATTGGTGATTTTCCGTACAACTGCGAGATCTCGCGAGATGCATGAAAGACGCGCATCGAACGTCTGCCGCAAAAATCGAACGATTTGATTTTGAACTCAAATACCCTTACCTAATTGAAATTGCCTATCATCAAATGTGGACAGCACATTGTTAAGCATGGAAATGTCCCCAAAATACTTTCGCGTTTGTCGAATCCCACGCGATGTTTGACGCCACTACGACGCTATGACCTTTGTTTGTCCTGTTTTTACTTTCGATTTCACGCATAACGCGTGATTCTCGAAGTGTACGGAAAATGGTCTATTGGCTTAAATATGCATGCAAATATTCAGTCTATGTGTCTTTGAGTAAATTTACCAGAACATAGACATTAACTAATTCATACTTGTAAATAAAATTGCATCTACTCAGTTCAGTGGAAGAAACATTCTTATTTTACAGAAAATTTAAATTTGAGAATAATTAATTTAAATATAAACAAAATTAGCACCTTAATATACTACATGTATTTCTTATAGCTTTTTAGAACAATTTACCACAATGGTTCAAATACTCTCAATAAAGCTATAGGAATTATCCAAGTGCAACTTTAAAGTCAGATTATTGTTACCTGTATTATGCACTAGTAGTAACAAAAAGCCATGGAGTAATTTCCACATTACACCCCTGATAGGCAAATCTGATTAGTCCTTAATGCAAATTGAGATTGTGACAGTAGTCACCTAGTAAAATGCCAGAACATAACTTGTTTAATGACGAAAGAAATTTTTGAAATGAAATACAATCAATTTGAATGTTTTTGCTATATACCAATAGTTTCAGGCATTCACCGATATGTGTTATCTTTACTGATTAGATGTGTGAAGATCGTTGTAAGAACTAGCCCACATTCAGTTAAAATGATGCCAATGTGTATATAACATTGATGGTTATAAAAACTAGCTGAAACACACGTTTAAGAAACAGCGTTGATAAGTGCAAATGGTAGAACATGGCAGACAGGATGTGTGCACACAAATAATTGTAATGTCAGTTTCTGCTGGTGAAACAGCTAAAAAGCATACACGTGATAAATGTGATATCAAAATACATGACTGTGTAAATATTGTATTTATTAAACAACTGTAGCAATTGTAATATGTTCCTTGCCATGAAAATTACTACATCCGTTCAGAAAATAGGGTGGAACACAGTCACACAATGGGTACCACTTGCCAGTATATACCACAAATTTTATAATATACCAGTTGTACAAATTGTTCGAGTTATTGAAAACCAAAGAAATAAAGTTATGATGAGAAAATCAACCAAGAACAGACATTATGCTGTTTTGCAAGGTATAAAATACAAAGCTCACAATTGTAGTCAAGATTAAAAAAACAAATAAGTAGCCTTAAAATAACCTCCTAGAACCAAGTCAACAAACACAGTTACCTGAAGGATCCTGAGCAATGGCTTCACACTGTTCCAAGTACTTCCACGGGCATCAATGAGAATTGTAAAACCATGTGATTTGGCTTCATCACTAAAAAAAAACAAAAAAAAACAGTACTTTATATGATTTCACACCTTTGTAGTATAAATGTAGCTGACAAGCCAATCTCATTGTATGAACAATTACTTTCAAACAATGGAAAGTTTTTTTTGAATGAGGGCGCACTTTCCTCATAAAAAGAAAATGTAAAGTTTCTCTTACTGTGGCCTCCAGAGGGCACACTGATAGTGAAAATTAAAAACCATGACTGAACACTTATTTCCTATTAAAAACATTGGCATTTTAAGATTACAGATGAATAGTATTTCCTAATAAAAAACAAATGTTAATAATGTTATACATTCCTGGTATTTTGAACAGTGCATGTTATATGTCTTGTACTTTTAGTCTAAATATTGTTGAGAGATCAATTTTGTCTATTTTTAAATATTTTTCTATAATTTTTTTGAACATCTTGAACTCTATGCGCATATTTTTCTATTATCTATACAGCTCTTGATCAACATTTTGGTAACAAATCTGTGAAAATTGTAACATTTTATTTTATGAATGATTAACTTTGGCACTCAAAGTGTTAATAATTACTTTTCATAACCATAGCCTTTCTGTAAGAGCATACACCACTAACACATGTAGGACACATGCGATTACTGATACATACAATGCTTGCCTTGTGCATTACACTTTATTGTAGAAGTAATTTATTGTAATACAAGCAGGGAGCAATCAAAAACAGTTCAAGGATATGACTCCAATTTTGCAATATCAGAATCCTCCCAGAACAAGTTTGATAATTGCCTTCAGCAGTTAAATGTCTGCTTTGTTTCATGTCTAACTGTGGAGATATGCCTGTTATGCAGGTGTTATTCAATACCAAATTCAACTGTGTTTTATCCTAATTTACGGTACATGTACCTCTTAATTTTGCACTTTCTATAATTTTAACTAGATTGACATAAATGTAATTTTCAGTGTGCTTAGGTATATGTACTTTGCAGAAGTGTTTTTATGGGCATAGAAATAATTAATAGTGCAGTGTACAACATATGTAATTTTTGGTTAAACTAAATTTAATTTTCTTGGAAGGTAGCGCAGACTGCGGATTTATACTGCTGAGTGAACAGTCAGCTCCAGGAATCGATCCCAGAACCTCCCTGGTGCAAAGTAAACAGGGTTGGCCACTGTACCATGCTCAGATCCACACTTTTAAATACTTGTTGACATCGACAATGACTGTGAAATATAATGCACACTATTTTTCACTTTACACTATATGAGACTTTTATTTATCTATGTCAAAAAGGGTTTCACTTTCATTTATTTAGCTGATAGCCATATGCGATAAATTAAAGGCAGCCCAATAAATATGCAAAGCTAAACATGCTGTTTCCTTCATAACTTAAGATAAAACTAAATAAATTAAAATAAAAGATATTTATCTGCAGCAACAAAACTGGCTGTTTTAGATGGGTATTGTATGTCAAATTATTCAGAGTGAATTCTTAGTTTTTATTATGCAACAAAGGTGATACACATAAAAATAAACAAAATGAATTTATTTTCACTTTTATGAAATGTTTACAGTATTTGCTTTCATTAGTAGCATAGTACACTTAAGGTATGTAAATTATAGAAGTGTTTCTATGGTCAAAATATCTTATTTTTATGGTTCAGTATACAACAAATGTGGTTTTTAGTTTTTTATTCACTTCTATTTGGTATGCACTTTCAATGGAGCAAATATGGTACAGTAAAAACCATTAGTATCAAGACAAACAGACAGACTCTGTTGTAAAAATAGTGTGAGGACAGTTGACAATAAGAATTTGATAATACAAACTAAAGTAACAAACATTGAAATGAAGTTCAATGGGATCTCTCGCTTACAACATTCCTTTGTCCCAATCACTGGGCAAGAAATATTCTATTCCTTACAAGGTACAATCGCTGAAATAGTTTTAATTGATATGCAAAGTAAAACATAGAATGCAATGGCACAAGTATTTATCTCCACTGACGGGCAAACAAACATACGTTGGGGTATTAGCACAAAGTACAGATCAGATGGATCATGCACATCTACCAGTACAGGTGAACAAACATGTATTACTGAAGAGTACAGATCAGACAGATTATGTACATGTATATGCACACTTGTTGGACTATAACTCATGAGTATAAATCAGTACAAAACAAATATTACATACTCGTAATATAGCTGAATCAATCGTTCCAGAAAGAGATTATTGATTTCTATGTAATTTGTATGGACAATAATATTTACAACTTCAACATTGATAAATGCAGGAACTATGCCCTGGTTAGTACTACAAGTAGACCCCAGAGATCTACATGTAGTCAAAATTTAATGATTCAGATTGACTCTGGTCTCATTCAGTTCATTTATTCCCCCCAAAAAATGAATTAGCCTAGAGTTTCAACACCTACTGCTCAATATTTCAGTAGAATCAAATAATGAATATGATATTAAAAAGGCAAATATTAACTTAACAAGTCATTGTCAATGACACGTCCCTGTTTCGTTCATATTTGAGTGACATATACATTCAAAGCAGATCATGACCGAAATGCACCTGCATATGTACAACACATTGTACTAAATCTGAACAAAATCCATTCATGCATGACTGAGATCCGGTTTCGGAATTGTGAAAATATGTGATTTTGATGCATTTTCGGCCTTAAAATGGCCATCATTAAGCTATTGTTAAGCGGATCATGAAACAAATGCACATATCTATTTGTGACATGATGTAACATGTGTGTGTGAAGTTTGAACTTGATCAATCCAGACATGTCTTGGATACGGATCCAGAACTGAATTCTTTAAAACAAAATGGCCGCCAGTCGGCCATTTCGAACTTGATCCGAGAAAAAAAATGACGTGCATCAAGGTTCTATTATGTTTAATGTATGTACCAAATTTGAATGAAATCCGTCCATGCATAACTGAGATCCTGGTCCGGAATGGTGAAAATGTGCGATTTCAATGCAT